ATCCTCATCATCATTCATCATCCTCATCAAAATCATCATCAGCATTATCATTAGCATCATGCTCATCGTTGTCATCATCAGCAGCAGCAGCATTATTAGACCCATCACCATCATGCTAACTGTGGTCAGCCTCACCATTGTCGTTATCGTCCTCCGACTCCACCTCTTCATCACATCCGCCGCCGCCTGCTCAATGTTTCTTGATCCTCCTCCTACTGTTCCTACTCTTCCTCGTGGGTGCAGGGTTCTGGGTTCCAGTGTCAAGCAGGTCGAGAACCGGAACACGATTTAGAGTCGTCGGCAATCCGGGGGTAAGATCGTACTGGAAGGGAGAACCCCCCACCAGAAAACTGTTTCGGTTTCGGGTCCGTGTCGTGCGGGCGGGCAAGACTCGGAAGGACTCCGCTGTGCGAAGGCAGGGCAAGACATTTGTCCGAACCTCTCCCCTGCTGGGCGGGCGGCACCCGTGCTGTCCCGCCCTGGTGTCCCGTCATTATCCCGTCGCTGTCCCGTCCGTGCCCCGTCGCTGTCATAACGATGGCGCCCGGTGACGTCCCGATCGTTTACAGGTGGTTCTCAGCATCGCTATCGAAAGTTGGGGAGTGAGATCGTAAAGAACCCGATGCGCCAAATCTCCCGTCGGTGTCCTTTCGGTGTCCCGTCGGTGTCCCGCCGGTGTCCCGCCGATGTCCCGTCGGTGTTCCGTCGGTGCCCCGTCGGTGCCCCGTCGGTGTCCCGTCGGTGTCCTGTCAATGTCCCATTGGTGTCCCGTATTCAAATCGCTAGTTCGATCGATAGTGAGACCAATTGTGAGATTCATGGAAGATTTATACTCGTATGCATGGTGAGATCGATAATGGGATCAGAAGTGAGATCGATGGTGGAATCGATGGTGATATTGATAATGAGATCGATGGAGTGAGATGGATCGAGTAAAATCAATAGTGATGTCCCGTCGGTGTCCCGATGGTGTCCCGTCGGTTTTCCGTCGGTGTCCCGCTGGTGTCCCGCATTGTAATCGATAGTGAGATCGATAGTGCGACCGACAGTGAGGTCGATAGTGAGATCGACAGCGGGATCGGCAGTGAGATCGAGCATGAAAACGGGAGTGGGATCGATAGAGGGTTTGATCGTGCGATCGATAGTGAGACCGCTAGTCGGATCGCTTGAGTGAGACGACTTTTGGGAAGCATGGCAACCGAGCCTGTAGAAATCGACCGTAAAACAACTCCCCTGGGAGCGACGCAAGAAGGGAGAGAGAAGCGGGGTCTTCCACGCGGAAGCGCCTGCGGGGTGCTCAAGAACGCAGCGCCCATTGCCTTCCGCCTGGATGTGGGCCAGCTCGATCGCGAAGCCAAGGAGCACTCTGCTCTCGGTTTCGGTTCCCGCCCGATCGAGCGGATCCATGGACTCCCGGGAAACTCCCCAGACCTGGCTGAACGTCTCAAAGGGGGGATCCACAAACAGACACTCGGGGCGGCGTTCCCTTACCAATTACCTGGCCCTGTTGCGGTCTCCAGACTTCCTGGGGGCCCCGGCCTGTCATCCCGGCCCGAGCAACAGCGCGGGCAAGTCGAGGAGGGAAAAACACTTCAATTTAAACCACCCTTGGCGCGCGTCTCACTGCACTGATTGGCAAAAAGAAGGCTCAGCCGAAAGGGGCACGGCCCCTCTCCGGGCAGCTCCTCTTGCCTCAGCCAGTCCTGACCAGACACGGTCCAGTCTAAAGTGCTTTCCAGCATAGCACATTCAGAATCGTCACGCAATGAATCGGGGAAGATGGAATCGGCCCACCCAGAAACGCGAAGAGAGAGGCATCGAGGTCCTCCGAGGGCCCGGACCAAACGCCCTCCTCCTCGGACCGAAAAGCCCCCCGGGACCCCAGACGTTCCATAGCCTTCCAGAGGCCCCGCAATCTCTCTAACACTCCTTTGGAATCCCGGCCTCCTGGGCCGACGATACAGGAGGAGAGGTCAAGACCGATCGCGAGCGCACCCTCGGGCGGGCTAACCAGGCTGACACGCTGGAAGCAGCCGGTCGCGACCAGCACATCAGCCACTGCTAGCGGCCGAAGGCTCAGGCGAGGTTCTCCGGCGAGCACTGCTGCGCCGGCGAGTTGCCCACCACCCTCGAACCCCAGCTTCTCCCCGCAGGGCGCCGGGATCTCCGTCGCGGCCGGCGCTGCCGCTGCCGCCGCGGCCGCCTGCCCCTGCAGATGGAAATTCGTGGCACCCGACTCTGCCAGGGCCATCGCCCTCGCCATCTGCGCCTGAGCCCGCGCGCCCACCATCATCCGCTGCTGCTCGAAAGACGCGACGGGCGCCTGCATCGCCGCTAACTGCTGCTGGCGGAATGCCACTCGCTGGTCGAGCGCGACCAGCTGCGCGGCCAGGCGCTGGCTCGACCTCGTCATCGCCGTCACCGAGTCCCCGATCTCCTCCACGCCCTGCTCGATCTTGGCCTCGGACGCGGTCCGACCCCGACGCTTGGGCCTCCTCGGCAGATCGCCCACCTCGATCGGCGCCATCGGGTCGCAGGGCCGCGTCGCCGCGCTGCCGCCGCCCCTCAGATACACGGGCACCTCCGACGCAACGGCGGGCCCCGCCTCGCAACGCAGGGCGCGGTGGTCACGCCGCTCGCGGGGGCGCACATCCGCCGCTGCGATGGCCTCCTTCCTCGTCGATGAAGCTGCCGACCGGAGCGATAGCGGCTCGTCGTCCGTCTCGGCCCGCGTCAGACACCCGTAGTTCGGGCGGAGCTGGCAGAGCAAGCACTTGTCCCACTCCCCATCCAGGTTGCTCCAGCGACCCGTCGCATTCGGAGGGCGGCGGCGCTCCATCTGAAGATTGGCCAGCATGCGGCCCCGTCCCTGCGCGTTCTGGTCACAGAGCCCCCCCCCGCCCCGAAAGCGGGCGCGACGCCGCCCCGCGCCCCGCGCCCCATTCTCCCCCTGGCGCCAGAGGCCTGGCAGATAGTCCCGCCGGGCGAGCGAGTGCGCCAGCGGCGGGGGGCACCGCTTCCGCCTCGACAGCTGCCGCCGCCGCGGACATGCGGAGCGGGCCCGGGGCACGGTCTCTCGCGCGCGCCTGGATGGGCGCCGAGAGCGGGGCCGGTCCAGATCCAGAACGCGCGAGGGGGGGCCCAGGGGCAGTCGACGGGGCCCCCCTGGAACGGGCGATAGCCGAAGGGGGTCCCCACGCGGGGCGCCGTCGCCGTCGGGCCCGCGGCGGGGGCCCCGGGAGGCGCGCCGCGGACGCCCGGGCCGCCCGACGCCCCGCGAACGCCTCCTCGGCCTCCTCTTGCTCCAACGAAATGAAGCACCCGCGGCCCCGCGAGCCCCTTTGCGCGGACTCTCCGACGAAAGTCGGCGGGGCCCACGCGAGCGGCCCCGCGACCGGGCGGCGGGGCCGAGAGAGAGAGAGAGATGAGAGAGAGAGAGAGAGAAAGAGAGATGAGAGAGAGAGAGAGAGATGAGAGAGAGAGAGACCGGACAAGTAGGCGGACCAGGGTCCGTCCGCGAGGCGCACTGCGGTGCGACAACCCGCAAAACACTATTTGCGGCGGTGCAGCCTTGAGATACGAGGGCGGGCAACAAACCCCCTCCCCCGGCGCAATGCGACTGACGCTACAGACGGCGGACAGACAGTGAAGATCTCACGTGTCAGACCGCGTGACGAAGAAGGCCCCAACAAGAAAGGCGACGTGCGGACACGTGGCTAGGCGGCTTGGCAGACCGCCAGTTGGGCGCTTGGCCGCAGCGCGGCGCGCAGGGACGGGGCACCCCCCGCCCCCACGCCCTGACACCGTGGACGCGGGGCCACGCGTGCACACGGGCAGGCAGAATGGCGGAGATTAGCGCGGGGCTCCAGGCGGAGCGCCGCGGAGCGATGACAGCATAGCATGGAGGGTGAGTGGCGGCGCAGCACCATCGGGCGAGGGTGTAAGCAGCTCGGCGAAGGCACGCCCGGCGCGGTGGAGGCGCTGGAGCAGAGGGCCTTGACGGGCTTGAGCAGCGGCAAGGTCGGCGGCGAGAGATGAGAGAGGAGGGAGAGAGAGAGAGAGAGAAGAGAGAGAGAGAGAGAGAGAAGGAGAGAGAGAGAGAGAGAGAGAGAGGAGAGAGAGAGAGAGAGAGAGAGGAGAGAGAGAGAGAGAGAGAGAAAACAAAAAGAGAGAGAGAGAGAAAAAAAAAAGGATAGAGAAAGAGAAAGAAAGAGAGAAATAGAGAAAGAGAGAGAGAGATAGAGGAGAGAGAGAGAGAGGAGAGAGAGAGAGGAGAGAGAGAGAGAGGAGAGAGAGAGGAGAGAGAGAGAGAGGAGAGAGAGAGAGAGAGAGAGAGAGAGAGAGAGAGGAGAGAGAGAGAGAGAGAAGAAGAGAGAGAGAGAGAGAAGAAGAGAGAGAGAGAGAGTGGGAGGTGAGAGAGAGAGAGAAAGAAAAAAGACAGAGAGAGAGATGAGAGAGAGAGGCGCCCACCTGGGGGGGGTCGAAATGCACCCAACCATTCGGGCGCGAAATCGCAGCTCCAAGCTGCGACCGCATCGCACTCGGCGAAAGTGGCGGCAAATCCTGGCGCGCAGCGTTCATCCCCATAACTCCCACTTCGCCCTCGACTCCTACACCGCTGGCGCTCCTGTTCTTATACTGGGGGCTCGCGGGATGAGAATGCCCTTCTTTTCCACAGCACTGTCGCGGAGGGTCAAAGCGGGCTCCCCGACGATCGCCTGGCCGGCCGCAGCGCCCATTACCGCGGCGCCGCTGTCGACCCAGAGGAGGGCCCGCATGGCCGTCTGACCCTCGCCGGACCTCGAAGATTGCGTTATCCGCGAGATCCCGGACGCCCAGGGCGCGCCCTCGGGAGCATCGGCGAGCAGAGCGAAGGCCCCGAGGACTGGGCCCGAGGCGAAGCTCGCACGCCCGAGCCCGACGTCGCGGAAGCTGCTGCTCATCGGCACTAGAGCTCTGGAGCTGTCGCCACCTCCTGGAGGCCTGCGCTCAGGAGGCTTGCCCGAGCCACCGCCGAGCAGACACCCCCTCGCCCAGCGCCCCTTCCTGTGACATCTGCGGCACAGCGTGACCTTCATCAATTGTTCCTTGGGCAGGCGCTGCTTCCGCGCGCGCGAAGTCCGTCGGTCGCGAGCTTGACCAGCAGGTGGTGGCGGCGTGTAGTACCTGCGGTCCGTGCGAAGCCCTCACTTCAGCGCGTAGTTTTCTTCCATGTCTTCTTCGGATCCTGCTGCGGGAGCTCCAGCACGTCGCCGACCTCGCGCTCGCCCACCTGCGACTGATCAAAGCGGCAACTATATCCTACCCCGCGGCCGCGCCTATGCTCGACGCGTCGCCGTCGTCCTTGGTGGCGCAGGCGGGGGAAAATTCGGCGCCCGGCCCGATCTCTAGGTAGGTTTTCTTGGCCGGGAGTGTCGAGGTCAGGAACTCGTTCCGAGCGACGCCCATCTCATGGAGGGCGGCATGGAACGCAGAGCAGTTGGAGCTGCCGCGCACCATTATGCGAAGCATTTGCTGAGCGCTTTCGTCCAACAGCACAGCTTCCTCGAGAAAGAGCTTCTTCCATTCGTCGGCGAGGTCGAAACCCTGCACCAACCGCTGCTCGAACCACTGCTGAATTGTCACTGAGTGCTGCGACAGCGTCTCCTCCTCCTCCTCCTCCTCCTCCTCCTCCTCCTCCTCCTCCTCCCCCTCCTCCTCCTCCTCCTCCTCGTTGTTCCTCCGTTTGTAGCCGATGAGGACCTCGCGGCCCGCCTTCCGGCGGTGGTCGCCATGCCTCTGCCCGCTCAGAGTGCCCAAGCGCGACAGCAACAGCGAAGGGCCCGACTTGCTCAGCAGCACTGTGTCGGGGATGTCCTGAAACTGCCGCTGCGTCTCCGGATCCAGGAAAAGAAGCAGCTTGTCCGGCCGGTTCGTCGCCTTACTGTTTGCACCGTCGAGCCATCTGCGAGCCTGTCGTCTCCAGACCCTGAAGTCCGCCCACCCCATCCACTTGGGCGGGTCCGACAGATCTGGTTTCTTCCACCGAGGGCTCGGATGCCACGACGAGGTGCGCCAGGCCTGGCCTGCGCTCTCGGAGCCCTTCTCTGGTGCATCTCCTCTGACTTGCCACGGACCTGGCTCGCGCCAGTCGGTGATCCGGCCGCACTAATCCCAGCCCCTGGCGCCCACGAAGCTCAGCTCCCCCGCGAGCCGCGCCAGTCCCACGCAGGACTCTCACCAGAACTTGACCCGGGCCATCTCCTAGGCTCTGGCTGGCCCTCCGGAGGCCACACGTCGTCGCGACCAGGAGCTGGCCAGCCAGCACCCTCGGATGTCAAGCTGCTCCTGACCGCACTGTGCACATCCACGCCTCGTAGCACTCTCGGCATCATGTCTGCGAGTCCGAGTTCTGAGCGCTGCGCTTCTGAGAAGCCGGACTCTGGCTGTCCGCTTGTGGCCTGCTCAGGGCCTGACTCGAGCGGAACTCCCTTGCTCTCCGTCGGCGACACGTCGCCTTCTGCTCCAGCCGCCGCCATGGCTGCAGAGCGGGGCCCCTGGTGGATCACCAGAGGATCTGCTACCAACTGACGAACCAAAACGAAGGAGCGATCTACCGATCGGAGAGAAGGTGCATTCCGAATTCTCTCATCACACCTGAAACGGGTACCCGAGGGTGACTACGCCAAAAGGCTGCGGAAAACTAAACATGACAACGAGCACGAAACCTTTAAGTTCCTGAGAAAACTTAGGGACATACTGTTTGGACTTGACCCACGGGGTGACATTTCAAATCCTGTTCCTCCTCCTCCTCCGCCTCCTCCGCCTCCTCCTCCTCCTCCTCCTCCTCGTCCTCCTCCTCCTCCTCCTCCTCCTCCTCCTCCTCCTCCTCCTCCCCTCCTCTCCTCCTCCTCCTCCTCCTCCTCCTCCTATATCCCCCCCCTTCTCCCCTCTCCGTCTCCCCCTCCCCCCTTCGACCCTCCAGCCTCAATCCTCCGTCCCCACCTCTCCCCCCGCCCTACCCCTCCTACTTCTCCTCCTCCGACGACAGCCGCATGAGTATCGCTTCTCTGATCCCCATCCCCAGCGCCGTGGCCTATATCCATCCTCATCCTCTCCTCATCCATCCTGTCCCCCCACTTCCAATATTTCCCATATTTTTCGGGGAATCGACGATTCATTGTGTCTGTATGATTTTTCCCTCGCACAAGAGAACGCGACCGCGACCGCGACCGCAACCAAGGCGCAACGGGGGCACCGTGGCGCAAACACGACGCCAAGGACTGGGACAGAACTGAGGAGCGCTACTGGGACCAGAGCCACGACACTGGCAGGGGCGCAGGTAGCGCACCCTGGCGCCAGCCAGAATCGCGCAACTCTTACCACAAAGACGATCGCAGCCACACCGAGTCCCAGATCCTTAAATACGGGAGAGGGGGAGTGGAGGGGAAGGGAAGGACGGGGTCCAGGTGGAAGGGTAGGTAGCCAGCCCGTGGAACGCGGGCGCCGCTGGGGCAATGGGGTGCAGGTGGTGGGGAAGGGGAGGACACACGGTCTCCAGCCAGGTGAGAGAGGTGGGGTGGGGGTCGGGGTCGGGGGCGCAGGTGGTGGGAGCGATTGGCTGATTGTGCTGTGGTGCCGTGGGGCAAAGGGGGGTCGGGTCGACGGTTGTCAGCGCCGCGGGCGCTTTCCAGCCCAGGTGTCGTGGTACCCGGGTCTGCGCGCCTGGTCCCCTTCGCGCCCGCCACCCTTAGCGACCTTTTCCTCTGTACGTCCTGGTAAAGCTTCTGCTCCCGCTCCCAGTCCACGTAGACGCCTGCGCTGCGGGACCACGCCTCCGCGTGATGGTTGTTGGTGCTCATGTCATCCAGGAGTTTGTCGATGATCCAATGATGCCAGCGGCCCGGGTCGAAGGGCGCCTGGCCCTTGGATTCGCCCTTGCCCTGCTCGTTGCACATGTGCCTGCACCACGAATGCCAGGCTGCGTTGAAGTGATACCCCCCTTCCGCTTGCAGCCTCTTCAAGTGTGTAACTGCTGTCTCGTTTGGGAGGCGCTGCCAGCCAACGCGGAAGGTGGTTCGCGTTCTGTACCCATCTGCGACGCATTGGTGCACCGAGGACATGCGTGGCACGCCCTGTTTTAACCTGCAATGGGACCTTGTGCCTTACCTGTACCCATTGGGGCTTGTCCCCACGTGAGAACCCCGGTGCAGGCTGAGGCGACTTCGGCTGGCGCGGGATGCCGGCCTCTCTCCTCCCTGCTCGCTTCGTCCCCCCCCCCGCTCGTTTCCCCCCCCTCCCATGGCGGCGGCGCCCGGCACAGCGCGGCTTCGGCCCGGCGCTGGGCACTACACCTTGCCGCTTCGGCGGCCCCGCTTGCCTTGGGCAGCGCGGCTCAGGCCCGGCCCTTGGCCATGCGATCGTCAGCGCATCGGGTGTGGCTCCCGCCCGTCTTCACGCGCTGACCGTGCAGGTCAAGTTTTCTCCCTGCACACCACCGACATCCAGTCGGGCACGGACGGCCCTGTTTCTGGCCGCGCCTCTTGCTGGCTGCTCCCTGGACGTGGATTGGACTACCACTCCAGGCCACTTCCGACCACCCGGTGGCACAACGCTGCACAGCGCCTTCGTGGTCCTCCTCATCTCCTGGCCCCTCCTCACCATCTGGCGGCACAACGCTGCTCATCGCCTTCATTGTGGACTTCTTCTTCTTCTTCCTGGACGTCGACCTGTTCGCTTTCATCCTCACGCAGCACTTGAGGATGGTGTTTTCGATGCGCCGTCGACGGCAACACCACACCGCTCACCCCCCGGGGCTTCGCCTCCGGCTCCTGTCCAAGGCGTTCCTTTTCCTGTGCAAGCTCCTCAGCACCGCCTGCACCCCGCGCCCTCCGGCCGCCTGAGGCCCCGCCCGCCTGTACTCAGTCTCCCCAATTAGTGCTTTGCGCGGCCCGCCTAGCTCTGAACAGGAAGAGGCTCGCTCTTGACCCGCAGACCAAAAAAAAATGTTTGTCCCTCCTGAACGAAGCCAGGACGAGAACCAATTCAGGTGGGCGGCGATCACGAGAATCGTTTATCCGACCCCAATCCCCAGCGCCGTGGCATGGGCCCCACTGGCCGATTTACCCCCCTAGATGGGGACATAGGTCGTTCCATTCGGGTTTCGAAGGGTGTATCCGCAACTGGGGGGTAACTTGGTGGGGGTCTCGAAGGGGATGGGGATGGGGATGGGGGCCGGCTAAACGGTACTGATTCTCCTCCTCCGGCGACAACCGCGGGACCTCGAGATCATTCTCCCGACGTGTCTGCGGTCCGACAGCAGCTTCTCGCACTCGGCGTTGCCTGCGCGCGGGCACGCCGGCCGCACGGGGGGGCGGCAGGGAGGCAGGGGTGAGGGGGAGAGAGGAGGGAGGAGGGAGGAGAGGGGAAGAGAAGGAGGAGTAGGAAGAGCAGGAGGAGGAGAAGGAGAAGGAGGAGGAGGAGGAGGGTGGAGGAAGGAGACAGGAGGGGAAGGGACGGAGGATATATATATATATATATAACTGTAAGGACGTGGACGACGACAACAACAACAACAACAACAACAACAACAACAGCAACAACAACAACAACAATCATTCGAAGACTGTTCGCTCTTACTTCCCCGTGTGTCATTCAAAACAAGTTCCCCACACCCTCGATACCCGCCCTTTTTTGTCTTCGATCACACCCCCTTGGGGGGGGGTATTTCTCGTTGCGGGGGGCGGCGGGCTTAAACAGGCGGGCGAACCTGAACGGGCGGCCAATCCCTCGTGGGCGTACAAGCGCCCGCCATTGAAATTGGTGTGGGCCCTGCAAAAGAGGAGGGGGAGAACGAGGGAGTGTGGGAGTAAGGTGGGGGGACGGACAAAGGAAGGGGGAAACGCCAGGAGAGAAGGAGCGAAGAGGGGGGCGGCTGATTAGAGGCAGAAAGAGAAAGAGAGAGAGAGAGAAACAGAAAAAACTTATAGGAGAGGTTGAGAGAGAGAGAGAGAGAGAACAAAAAGAGAGAGAGAGAGAGAAGAGAGAGAGAGAGAGAGAAAGAAAGAAAGAAAGAGGGAGGGAGGAGGCAGGAGAGGGGAGGGAGAACGGAGGAGGGAGAGGAGGGAGAGGGAATAGGGCAGAAAGGCATAAGGATGAGGGAAGAGAGGATGGAGAGAGAAGGGAGGAGAGGAGGGAGGGAGGAGGGAGAGGGAGGATGAGCAGGAAGGTAAGAGCGTGAACGCTCGAGGAAGTCCTAGGCGAAAGCGCCGTTCCTAAAGGAAGTCTCGGGCGGGAGCCCACGACGGGCGGGCGATCCCCTGACGGGCGGGTCGGGCGGGTAGGACATTCAAGCGGGATGCCTAAGTATGGCGAGAACGCGATTCCTAAGTAAATTGTGACGGCGTCCTTGGCGCAGCTTGTTTCCTGAGCGTCGAAAGCGCGATTTCAAAATAAATTGCATAAAAGTCACAAGCGAAAGCGCAATTCCTGAATAAAATGTGAAGGCCTCTCTGGCGGGAGCGGGGGCTTGATTCAATGGCGAGGAAATCTGGACTCAATTGCAAAAAAGTCTCAAGCGGGAGCGCCGCTCCTAAGTAAAATGTGAGGAAGTCTCAGATGGGAGCGGGGGCCCTGATTAAATTGCAAGGAAGTCACAAGCGGAGCACCGATCCTAAGTAAATTGCGGGGAAGTCTCAGGCGGGAGCGGGGGTCCTGAGCAAATTTGGAGGAAGTCTCGGGCGGGAGCCGCTGTTGTTGTAAACCGGGGGCCAGGGGCATAGTTTGAGCATCAAGACTTCCCCTATCAAAAAACACGGTGCGAGCGTCGAAGGGCACACTTTGATTTAGAAAAACCGTCTGCACCGGCGAGGGGGGATCAACAATAATTAGTCATCAGAAATGAAACTTCAACAACAACAGCTACAACAACAACATCATCATCATCAACAACAACAACCACAACCACAACCACAACAACAACAATAACAGCCGCCGCCGCAGCAGCAGCAGAAGCAGCAGCTGAAACAACCACAGCAATCACAACAACTACTACTACAGCAGCAGCAACAACAACAACGACAACCAACCATACTTACAATAACAACCACAACGAAAACAACATCACCATCACCACCAC